AAGTGAGAGCTGGACCATAAAGAAGGCTGATCGCTGAAGAATTGATGCTTTTGAATTGTGGTGCTGGAGGAGGCTCATGAGAGTCCCCTGGACTGCAAAGAGAACAAACCTATCCATTTTGAAGGAAATCAACCCTGAGTGCTCACTGGAAGGACAGATCCTGAAGCTGAGGCTCCAATACTTTGGCCACCTTGTGAGAAGAGAAGACTCCCTGGAAAAGACCCTGATGTTAGGAAAGTGTGAAGGAAAGAGGTGAAGGGGATGCCAGAGGACGAGATGGTTGGACAGTGTCACCTAAGCTACCAATGTAAATTTGACCAACCTCCGGGAGGCAGTAGAAAACAGGAGGGCCTGGTGTGCTCTGGTCCATGGGGTCACAAAGAGACCAGCATGACTCAATGACTAAACAAAGTAGATAAGTCCAGGATAAAAAACAGCATGTTGCTCTTTCTCCAGTGAGCTTAAGATGGCCTATATGAAAGAAGAAATCTACAGTGAGAAAATAACTCTTTGAACTGCTCCCAGAATCCTCAGAGATCATGGCACTGCCCCTTGCTGGCTGGGGGATTCAGAGCTGCAGACCAAGAAATAACTTCTTCAAAGTCTGCCAATGCCATAAGAGAAGGTTATGGTGGGGAAAGTGAGACTGGTCTAAGATCACAAGGAAAGTTCACAGCTAACTGAAGACTGAGTGCCTTACCCGGTCACCTGAAGGCCAGCACACCAAACTTTATTGCTAAGTGGTCAGCTTAATAATATAATAATTGGAGATGGGCACTAACCAGTTCATCCCAGTTTGTCCTAGTTCGTAAAGGCGGCAGCACAGGTGCTGCTAACGCCTTCCCTGCCTCCTCTGGCTCAAACAGTCATTCATCAGGCCCAGCTTGCTTGTTTTCCCCCCACCTCTATTAATCTCCCAGTCATGAGCAACAGCACAGATTTCTCTGCTCCACACTTTGGTCTAAGTGAGAGATCAGTCAAGAGGATGGGGCTGAGAAGCCTGAGCTGTTGCCTGGCCTGAAAAATCTGCCAAAGAGGTGGGAAAAAACAAGCAAGCTGGGCCTGATGAGTAGCTGTTTGAATCAGAGGAGGTGGGGTAGGGGAGCAGTAGCACCTGTGCTGCCCCCTTTACAAATTGGGACAGTTTGTGCCCATCTCTAATAATAATCATGCACCATCAAGGCAGTTCTTACTTATGTCAACCCTTTCCAGGGTTTTCTAGGTACAAAGTACTCAGAAGTGATTTACCATTCCCTTCTTCTGGGGCATCCCAGGACTA